CTATGTCAATATGTATGTGGTCGAAACGAACATCTGGTGTAGAGAAAGTGCCAAGGGGTGAAACTGTGTGGCGAGTAACTTTCGACTTTGGCACAGTACGCAAGATGGAGTCCAGTTGCGAATATCCTTATTTATGCCTGGCCAAACATATCGCTGAGTGATAAGATGTTGTGTAGCTCGAATTCCAGGGTGGGACATGGAATGCAACTGGTCGAAAATGAGACGACGATAACACAAAGGAATATATGGTCGTGGGTGGCCAGTTGAGATGTCACAGAGAATGGTGCCTGTTGAAGATTGTAGAGGAAATTCCTTGAGGCGTAGTGAAGAAGACTGTACAAGAGACAAATCAGGGTCGTTTTTTGAGCTTTGGCAAGAAGTACAAAGTCAAGAGGTAAGGATCTTTGAAGAATGTTTATATCCGTCCTAGATAGGGTGTCAGCAACAACATTTGCACTGCCATGTATATGACGAATATCTGAAGTGAACTGGGAAATGTAATCCAAGTGTCTAGTCTAGCGAGGAGAATAACGGTCAGGTGTAGCAGATAAAGCGTGGGTAAGCGGTTTGTGGTCTGTTAACACGTAGAAACGGCGGCCTTCCAAATTGTGGCGAAAATGACGGATGGCCAGATAAACAGCCAATAGTTCACGACCAAAAGTACTATACTTGATTTCTGCCGGATGTAGACGTTTGGAGAAAAAGGCAATTGGTTTCCAGATGCCGTCAATGTGTTGTTGAAGAACACCACCAACTGCAGAATTTGACGCATCAACCATTAAGCAGTATGGAGCAGTTGAAGAGGGGTGTACCAAAAGCATAGCATTAGCTAAGGCTGTTTTAATTGCTGTAAAAGCAGATGCAGCATCACCCTTGAGAGGAAAATGGTCGTGATAACTGTTTTTGGGAGACAGGATGTCTGTGAGTGGCTGTAAAATCGTGGCACACTGAGACATGAAGCGTCGGTAAAAGTTGATAAAACCAAGGAATTCTCGAAGTTTACAAAGAGAAGTTGGAGGTGGAAAATCTTTGATGGCTTTGATTTTGTCAGGCAAAGGATAAATACCACCAGCAGAGATTTTGTGTCCTAGGAAGTCGATGGACAGAGCACCGAAAACACATTTAGCAGGATTTATGACTATACCATATTCGGAAAGGCGTGTGAAAACAAGTTCTAAATGGTGTAAATGTTCCGATTCAGTAGAGCTGGCGATGAGTAGGTCATCAATGTATGCGTAGACGAAATCAAATCATCGGAGTACTTCATCCATGAACCGTTGAAATGTTTGTGCGGCGTTGTGAAGACCAAAAGGCATTCTGACAAACTCAAACAATCCAAAAGGGGTACTGATGGCAGTCTTTGGCACATCATTGGGATCCACTGGAATTTGATGGTAGGCACGGACGAGATCAATCTTTGAAAATATAGTGGCACCATGCAGCGTTGCAGAGAAATCCTGAATATATGGGATTGGGTATCGATCTGGTACTGTTACTTTGTTGAGGGCTCTGTAATCACCGCAAGGACGCCAGTCGCCATGTGTAGGTTTAAGGACCATGTGGAGTGGAGACGACCAACTACTTTTCAAAGGACGAATAATGCCCAATTGTAGCATGTGGTCAAACTCGGCTTTGGCGACAGCTAAACGATCTATTATAAGTTCACTATACATGTATGTTGCAAAACAGTAACATTCTTAATAAAAGATCTAAAGATAACAAAAAGTGACATTTTAACAGCGTATAAAATATAGAAAAGTAGTGACACTTTAATAGGGTATCTAAAATGGCAGAACAATATTGTTTTTGAGAAGAGATTGTATAATAGCAAAACAGTAGCATTTTAACATCATGTGTAGAATAGCAAAACGATAACAATCACAATAACAGAACTTAAATCACAAAACAGTAACATTTTATCAGTGTGTATTAAAGTATCAAAACAGTATCACTTTAATAGCATATCTAAAATGGCAGAACACTAGCATTTCAATAGAGTATCTAAAATGACAGAGCAGTAATGTCTGTGAGAAGAGATTGAAACAGTATTATTTTATCAGGGTATTTAAAATAGGAAGAGAGAAGCATTCTCAATAAAAAATCTTAAGGACAAAACATTAATTATCTAACAGCAGATGCTAAATAGCAAAACAGTAAAATTTTAGCAGCTTATATAAAATAGCAAGGGCGTAAAATTCTAAATATAATATCTTAAGTAGCCAAACGGTAATTATCTAGCAGTAGATCCTAAATAGCAGAGTATTAACAATTATAGGTCAAGTCAAGCAAGTCATTCCAACTGTAAGACAATGCAACGTCAGCAGTTCCTTGCACATTTTGATATTTATAGTTACATCAAAACATTTAATTGTTCCCTAAGCAGTTTTTTGTTACATTCCTTCAGGTCAAGGTCATCAGGAACCTGTATAAGCTCTTGTCTATAATAAGGAAACCTCTTGTAGATACAAAATTTATTTATGCAATAGTACCTTGCTGTCAGCCTGTTCACAGGATCTGGGAGAAATTCTGGCTCATCTTTGCTCTTCTTTTCACGATTAGGATATTGCCATGGTTCCCGAAGGTTAAGAGCAATGTCAAAGGGAATCACAGCAAGAACCCCTTTAGGAAATTCCTTTGAGCACTGGCCACACCTGTTTCTATCGCTTGCTATTTCACTAGCCAAGCAAACAGCAAAAGGCTCATTTTTATGCCAGATTTTTGTGAATGGCGGTGATGCGTTGCTTGGTCTATATGACAAAGGGTTCATCTGTCTCTGTTCATACACCTTCAACGTTGTGGTTGATGGGCCTTTTGCCCAGCTCTTCTCTGTTCGTTGTGGTATGTTAAGGTAGACCTAGCGGATTTTCGAGCCGACTTTGCATTCTTAATTACTGTTGCCAGTGTCCATTCCCTCTCAGCAACTGCAACAGAATGTTTCCATATACTCACAAACTTGAAATCTTTGTAGTTGCAAGTGACCTTCCCTTTTTCTGCTTTAGAGACTTTGTAAGGAGATGCGTTGCTTCCTGCGACCCAATACTTCTTTTCCCCCTTATCATTGCCTATACTTGGCACTGGAACTATTGTACTCTTGCTGTTTAGTAGTTTGATTGCCTTTCTTTAGATGACATCTGCATATATGATTAATGGAAGTGCAATTCTCAACTTTATCGACAATGAATGTATTTGATTATGTGTTCCTTGTAAGCCTGTTTCTGGAATGCTGATTCTTTTTCCATTTCTTACTTCATCCAGCGATGGGTTATTGATAGCTGTCAAGTAAGCTTTTTGTTTCTCTGCTGTCCACCGGTACCATTGTTCTAAACTGACAGATAAGTACATTGCATCTTCATTTTATCTATATCATGAACCTGTACCAGTGATAGCTTTAGCTATCTTGTCGTCTCAGTGGCGGCTCGCAAATGTATTCAATGTATTAGTCTAATACATAAAATTTTCGACATATACAAGAAATTACGTCAGACATGATTCTTTGTAAGTTCGTTGAAAAGGAGTTCCTCAATTTTCATGTCTGTGTGCAATACTCAAGGAGGCGCTTACAAAAGAAAAAATGTGTTGAATCCCAGCACAATAAAACTGATAATCCTCTAACGGCTGTATTGAATTCCTGGGGATTAACGCAGGCATGGCGGCTGTGATACTGCCGGCCGGTGTCAGTGTATTAGATCTCAGTTTCTAATACAACCACTCAAAATTTCTTTGTGTTGGAGAGCTCTTTGTGACGTCTAGTCTATTTTGCTGCCTATCCATAAATATCTGCCTGCGCAGCGAATGTATTAGATTTCATTTTCTAATACACTGAAGCTACAGTGCCGAGAGTACGCTAACGCTGTTAAACATGAACCGAATTGCTGAAGCTGTTCCCCGTTGGGGAGTGTCGCAAATATTTACGTTTTTGAAAAGCCAGAGGCATCTTACACACGAGCAACATTTAAAATTAAAGAATGACGGAAGACCTTGTCCAAAAGTAACATTGAAGTACAGAACTTCTGAGTCTGTCTATGAAACTTTTCCATGGATGTACGGCAACGAAGAAAAGAACATATTTTTGCTGGCCATGTCTTGTAATGGGAGACTTGTCTACTGTAATTAAATAACTGTTCCCCTTCAATATCATTTTCTATTTCTGAAATTTGCATTTGATTGCAATTTTTTAGATTTTAGATTTCAAATATTTTCTTATAAAAATTAATTTATTCCTCTATGATTTTTTACAAATTGTCCTCGTTGTTTTGACTTTTAATGTGAAGCTGTTTGTTTAACGCAAATTACGAAAATGACGCATGCATGAAAACAAGAGTTCTTTCTGATGTATTAAGATGAGCTTTCTAATAAACTAGGGCTTACGAACAAACAAAGGCTGATAGGCCGTTGTTCGTCGGCTTATTATGGCGCCTATGAGACACTGATAACGAGCCCATAGGCCGCTGGCGCAGAGGTAGTGCATCAAAGAATGCGGCCCTTTTATAATGAGATGTTTATCTTTATTCCAGACAAGAAACGTTTTTGTGGAGGTAACTGGGTATTCTTCATCAGGATCAAACTTTGAGAATGGCTAATTGCCACAAAATCTCGAAAAAGCACATTACCAACCATCCTGCTTACAAGTTAATTGGTAATATGGATGTTGCTTGCGCTCTTGACAAAGCTCAGAAGAGAGAAGTGGAGAGGCACAACCACAATGCCACTCAGTATTCTAGCATGATGCGTCATCATATCAATATTTCTGTTCTTCTGGCAGGTCAGAGTCTTGCATTCCAAGGCCACGACGAATTAAAGGCTTCATCAAATAGGGGGACTTTATAGAATTAATGGAGCTGTTAGCAAGCTACAGCCAAGAACTGAGGTCGTTTCTTGACAATGAATGAGTTACCTATACCTAACACGAGCCTCAAAATGACCTCATTGGATGTATTTATAATCAACTTTGACAGGAAATTAAAAGGCGAATAGATGACACCAACTTAATTGCTGTCATGATGGACGATACAAGTGACATTTCCCGAGTTGAGCAGTCTGCTGTATCTGTGCGACTTATATACAAAGGAGAAGTTGAAGAGCATATGCTTGCTTTAATTGATTCATCCGAAGACCAGACAGCAGACGGCTTAAGAAGAGTCTTACTAAATACTCTGTCAGAGTATGGAATCACACCAGTTTCAAGTAAAAACAAACTAATTGGTCAGTCATATGACGGAGCACCAACTATGAGTGGTGGATTAAGAGACGTCCAGAAACAGGTTCAGAACGTTTTTCCATTTGCCTATTATAATCACTGCATTGCTCATAGGTTAGCCTTATGTGCCTCTGAGTCTTCAAGCAAAGTTCCGAAGATTGCCAAGTTTTTCAGCACAGTGGACGAATTAATAGATTTCTTTAGAAGCAGCCCTAAGGGCACGAGCTACCTTAGAAGAAATCTCCCAAAGCCTGGAGACACACGTTGGTTTTCTAGGAACACCGCTATTGGCGTGCTTGACGCTTGGTATGAGAATATAGGAACTGTTTTATTTGAAATCGCAAATGACAACAGTGAGAAATCAGAAACCCAAATTACAGCCAGAGGCCTATGCATTCAAGTTCAGCAAGTCGAGTTTATTTTTTTTCTCAAGTTTTATCGTAAACTCTTCGAATATTTTACACCAGTAACGACTATGATGCAAAAAACTTCAATTGATGCTATTCAAATTTCGTCAATGCTTGAGGATCTAAAAGCTATGCTAACAGCTTTCGATTTTGGACAAATTTGGGAAGATACTCTTGCAGCCGATCCAGTTATGCCAACTGTACGTGTCAGAACTGGTTGGAGAGGAATAGAGGACGAGATTGGCGGCTCACATGAAAGTTGGAGAAGGTCAGTGACTGCAGTGGCTAAAGAGCTAATACGATTAGTTTTGGAAAACATTGAGTGGAGATTCGCGAACCTAAAAAAGTTTAAATGGATGAAATTGGTAGACCCATCAAAATTTTCAAAGCAAACAAGACTGCCACAGAAAGAGCAAAGAGCCCTTATAGAAGAATTGAGCAAAATATATCAATTCCTTGTTCCTGACGTTATTGCACTTGAAAACAGCCTGGATATTTTATATAATAACAGAGAAATTATACTTCTTCTGGAGAGGCTGGTTCGGGAGCGAGACTCCATTATTGGAAAAAAAAGAGGGCGTAATCAAATGAGAACAGAACCGAGACAACAGTTAGAGAACCAAGGGGAAGAACACGACCCAGAACTAATGGATAGGTTTGCAGTTTCGGAGCAGAAAATTTTTGCTGATGCTGTTCAGGAGGGAAAGCCAAATGTGCAAGACCTTTTGCTTGTTATTAGGCAGGCAGAACTCGAAGACGCCTTGCCACAAGTTGTGAAGCTTCTGGAACTAGCTGTCGTGACGCCGCTCACAAGCGTTCACTGCAAGCGTATTTTTAGCAAAATGAAAGGAATCATTTCACCTGCAAGATCTAAGATGTTGCAAAAAAGAAAAGAAATGCTGGTGTTTTTGCAGGTCGAGGAAAAAATATTGAAATGGCTTTCTGGACAAAAATATTTTAAAGACAATGTAGTTGCCAGATTTAAGGGTTATAATCAAAGCCGTTTTGAAAGATTTTCTAGGAAGTAGTTTGGATAGTTTGAAGGTTTCTTTGGGTGTGAGACCCATCTGCTTGTTTAGATGTAGCTATAAGAGAAATAAAAAAATTCTTTAAATATAAAATTTGCGCATTGTTTAAAGTCAAGATTGTTTTTTGTATTGTTTAACTCATCATTACCATGGACTCCGGCACAGATTGGAAAATGTGAGGGGGGGGGCAAAGAAAAATTTAGCCCTCATAACAAATGATTTTGAAAAATGCCCTATTGTTTTGCAAAAATTGGGGGCCATGCCCCTCCCTTCTTCGTAGGCCCTAATTTCATTCTAATACAACATTATTTTGGGTGCCAGCCGCCCCTGCATCGTCTTGATAACTGACCACAGATTCCCACCCATCTTTGATGAACTGTGTCATTTGGCAAATCATCTTTTTTCAAAAAACCTAAAGAAGCTTACTTTTCTGCTAGCATGGAATTGACACATTGAGATTGATTTGTGTAGACCATTTCTGTTCTACCATCGATGTTTCTTGGCATTCCACCTTTCTCGCGAGCATCTTGGATAACTTGCGTAGCACTGGCTTTTACCGCTCTTTTAGATAGGCATAGAATTTCGATTTGTATACTGACAAACCTTTAACTTTCACAATTTCTCCTTCCAGCTGTGATAGTTTTCCCATAGCTTCTGTTAGCTTTACTTTTAGATCTTTTTTGTCTTTTGCTTCTACAAGACCATCCTTTCCAAAAACAACATTCAGCGTAAGGTCTGTGCCTACACCTTTCACGCCAATTGAAGACAGAAATTTTTTGCAATTTGTCTTGTACGTCGCAACATTACTGCTTTGCTGAAATTATTTTTGCAGGCATTATGTAAAGCCTGCTCTCAGCCAGTGACAATTCCTATTGATTTTTTGCTGAGTGTAGAATAGCGTGCCATTTCATGGACAGCTGTGTCATACGTTTCAAGTGATTTGAAATGTCCTAGAATTCAATGTTGCTTCCACCTCTACAAGTATTGTAGTCACTTCATCCTGTGTGAGTCTTGCATTGCCTAGGACTTTTCTAAGGCACCTCTTTACACTACCCACCATGCGTTCAAATGCCCCACCCCATCAGGGACTACGGTCTAAGTTGAATCTCCATATACTGCGCTTAGATACAAAAAAATCTCTTACCTCAGTTTCACATAACTATTTATTGAGCGGCTTTGAAATAGCTTTAAAGGTCTTTGCATTGTCTGACACAATGCACACTGGCGTTCCTCTTCTTGCGCAGAATCAACATAAAAAATTTACAAGGGTAGGGGTCGCAGGATTTGATACTACTTTAAGGTGAAAAGCTCTGGTTATAAAGCAAGAAGAGAGACAGATATAACATTTAATAATCTCACCACCTTCAGCTTTCACAAACAATGGCCCCGCAAAGTCCACACCAGTAGTGCTGAATGGCGGTGCTTTACTTACTCGAAAGTCTGGTAAGGCTGCTGTGGCTGGTGCATTGAATGACTTTCTCTCAAGATACCTGCAACGAAAACATTTTTTTATAATCTTTTTGACAAATTGTCTTTCACTGGTTATCCAAAATCTGGATCTTACCTCAGCTATTGTAGCTTCTATCTTCAAATGGTGAACTTTCTCATGACAGTCTAACACAATTAACAAAGGTACTTTGTGTTTCTTGGGCAGAATAATAGGGTACTTTGATTCTAGATCTAAGTCCGAGTTTTCCAGCCTTCCCTGGCAGACAAGTAGTCCATTTTTCTCAAAAATCCCAAGATGAACTCTGGTTTTCCCAAAACTTGCACTTTCTTTCTGCACCTTTTATCTCCTCTACTGCCAAGTTCCCTTATTCCAATTTTCTTTTATCTTTTTTGAGTTTTAAATTATTAACAAATCTTTTGACCCATGCAGTCACTCCGAGCAATTTAATCAAGGAGTTAAATCTTTCTATATTCACAACAGTGCTCAATGTCCTAACTTTTTCTGTAACTACACTCAAAACAACAGGCATCCTCTCTTTTCTCTTTTATCTCAGTTGAATCTTCAAGCACTAAACTAGTAAGCCAATTATTTTCACTCTTTCTCAACCATTTTGGCCATTCCCACTACAATGTGCTGTCTTTCAAAACTAATGCTGGTACTCACCTAGATCCTATGTCTGCAGGGTTATCTTTCCTCCTACATGACCCCAATCTGACTTCTTTGTTAATCTCAAGATTTCTGACACACAAAACTGCACCCATTGCTTCCACTCTCCCTGGTTATATATCCAGTAAAGAGCGGTTTTGCTGTTGAGCCAGTACTCTACCTTGTCAATGATGACTTATGAAGACAATGCTTTCTAAATAATATCCATGAGGGCAGCTAAAATTCTGGCAGACATAAACTCAAGACGTGGAATGGTAAGATCTTTTAGTGGAGCTACCCTTGACTTAGAGCACAGAAGCTTTGTATACCTGCCTTTTGTTGTTTCCCAAACAAGATACACTACTGCACAGTATGCCCTTTTGCTAGCATCTCCAAATCCATGCAGTTGACAGCTCAACAGCTCACCGTAATTTTCATCAAACATTTTCATCAAATTGTTAATGTTTTTACCTCATTTAGCCCATGTATCCATTCCTCCCACTTTGCAACCTTGCTCTCAGGGATTGGGACATCCCACTCAAGCTTCTCACTACACTACACTCACTACACTACACATCACACTACAAAGATCCTGAAGAATAATTTTAGCTTGCACCCCAATGGGGCTTGCTAGACCTAAAGGGTCAAATGACATGGCTTAAGTGCTCAAAATGCCTCTCTTTGTGGGTCCCCTTACCTGAATATTTTTGAATATTTGTAACCATTTTTGGATTCCAAAGATGCCAAATTCAAGTAAGTGTGACTTTTTCATTGTCCCAGATTATACCTAAGAATTTGGTCTTCCACCCCCTCCTCCTTACACGTTTCCTGCAGAGGTCCTAATGATTCTTTGGCAAAGGATTGGCTTTCTTGAGAATCCACACTCTCACTTCCTTTCACTTGCTGCAGAATCTGTTCCCTAAGCTCAGCTTTGTTTTTTTTCCATTTTCGAAGTGAAAATTCCCCTTTCCTCATTCTCTCTCTTGTCTTGCAAAAAAGGAAATATGCTTCTGCTGCATTAGGGCAACGGGTTACAAGGTCATCAACAAAGAAAGACTGTGACATTTGCGTAACAAAGTCTGGGTCAGACTCCTGAAAGGAAGAGAGATGATGACGCAAAACAGCATTCAAAATGAATGGTGAGCTATTAACTCCAAAGACAACAGAAATGAACTTGGGCTCAATAATCTCTGATTTTTCTACACTGATGTCATTTAACCAGAGAAATCTCAAACAATCACGATCTTTAGCATTTACCTCAATGTTCAGAGATGCTTTTGCAATGTCGCCAACAAGAGCTACTCTTGCATCTCTGAACCGCAAAAGAATATCAAAAATTAATGTATTTTAATAGATAGTTCCTTTATAGTCAATTGAGAACTATTAACAAAAATTAATTTAAACGATCTCACCCGTTGATGTGTTGAGAAAACGCATAGAGAAAATCGAGTTCTGTTTGATTTAATTCAAGATACCTTACTGACTTACTCTCATTATACCTTAATGCTAAAAATAAATCTGCTGACGAAGGATGTGTCAGTATGATGTAATGTGATGTAATGGAGATTGAAAGATCTATATAGAGAAAGGAAAGAGGCTGAGTAAGCATGACGCCATGTAGCAAGGTAGAGCTGAAAGAAGCAGTTTAAATTAACAGCACTTTAAAATGAGTAAATACTTTATTGCTACAGTGTCAATGATGGACCCACATGAAAGCAGTCATTTAAGGAGGTTTAGTGTTTTTATCTTTACAAGAAGCATCATAAAGAACTCTTACCTTAGCTGTTTCTGCATTTTAACGTGCAACTGCTGAATGTGGCAGGTAAGAAACCCTTTCTGCATCCTCCATTTCTGATACTCTTGAGATGATACCTGTTTGCAACTGCTCTGAAATAATTTTACCAGATTCATGCAAGATCTTAGGATCCTGCTTGAGCTTTCTTACTTCCGATTTAGGAACACAATTGTTATAATTTAATGGCAGAGGACCATGACCTGTCTTTCAAGGCAATGATACTGAATATCTCTCTCCTGTAAATACAATGTCATAAAGTAGAGCTTCATGCACATCGTCCTTAGGCCTTATGCCTAAGCTACGAAGATCCCACAGTTGGCTCACTTGTTCATCAATCCACAACAAATTAACTGAGCATTGAGAAGAAGAATCAAATTTCTCACCTTTCAGGGGTGCAAACAACAAACAGCTTGTCCTCAAATCTAGAAACATCTGAAAAATATATCATGTGCAAGTGGGGGTAAAGGCTCTTTACTCAACATTAATATATTCGCAATACTAGTTTTCAGATGTTATTAACAACATAACATAAATCTTTCACTCTCTTTTTTCCCATGAAAGGCAAAAGATAAAATTCTACTACATCTCTAATCCTGTCATCTTTTTCTCTACATCCAAAGGCCTATATGCTCAAATTCTCTCTTCTCACTTGCCTGAGTTATAAAATTTATACAGCTTTGGCAGAAATAAAGGATCTATGACTCCCAGAGTCAAATAGCACTCTCACATTGCATCCTTTTTTATCATCTACCTTCGCCAAGGCTGTCTGCAAGGCTACACTGTCCTCAGAACACATGCTTCCAAAACAAGCTGGGGCGTTGTTGCTTAGCTTATTTGCAAGTTCATCCTTATTTTCTGGCTTAAATGGCATGCTGCTACAAATAGAGACGTGATGCTTAGCCTTACACTGCGGACATCACAACTTTGATATACATTCAAAAGACCTGTGGTTGGCTTTAGGACGAATAAAACACCTAAAACATTTCTTAATGATACTTTTCCTGTCCTCAGGGTCCGTATGATTTGTGTACTCCTTTGGCTTGTCGTCTCCTGTGCAGTAAACACACTTCTGTTTTCCTGCAGGTGTAAAAAGTGCACTTGCAGTGTTCGGTCCCTTCAATCTCATTGGTTGTTTTGGTGCTTTTTCTTGCTTATCATTAGGCCCTCCACGATCTTTAAAAATTCTGCATGATTCTCTCGAACTTCAAGCTTCAAATCAAGTTCTGCAATCAGCTCATCCAGACTCCATTCCAAAACGCTTTTTCTCTATGTGATTGCACCATGCTAAATTTCAACTGCTTTGGCAACTTCTCAACCAACACAGGCACCACAATCTTGGAGTAGGTTCCTTGATCGACAGATAGAACATATCCAAGAATACTATTATCTAACCCTTTCAGCTCATCCCGTTGAGTTTTAGCTGTTCGTTAAAAAATTTGAGAAGTATGGTGTCGTTTTCTCCATCGGCATTTCTCAGGTCTAAAACCTTGTTCACCAATTTTTTTGGTGTTTCTTCGGAAAACCCTCCGCTTCTTTTCAATATATTTGCTTCTTCTTTTTCAAGGCTCATGATATATGATACAGCTTCTTAGGGTGGACCAAGTCTTATAGATCGCAATCTATCTCAATTAAAGTGTATATGAAGTCATTTTGTGTTTAGCGCCAATTTTATCAAAAAAGTGTCAAGAAATCGATTTGTAAAGTCCTTTTCGTCATTTGGGACTTCCTTCCCACCTTTTTTGCGACTTGAAGTTACGAATTCCAGGCCGCCGCATCAAAATCTCGCGTTAGGTCAAGAGACATGGGTCGAGAGCCTAATGACGTACATTACGGAAGGATTTGTGTATCATTTGCTTAGCAACGGTGGATTTTCTTGTTATGGTAACTTTCAGTTCGGATCTTTTTTATCAAAATGCCTTGTCTGTGCGTTGTTTACAGATGTAGTAACAAGAATGACAAAGTGGGTAGAGACAAAGGGATGTCGCTTCATCATCTGCCTTTCTGGGGAGATGAAAGGCCGTTGGCAAAGAAGAGAAGGAAGCAGTGGGTTGATTTTGTAAAAAGAATGCGAGCAAACTTTACCCCATCCAAGTACTCAGCCATTTGCTCGGAACATTTCAAGGGTGAAGATTTCAAAAACAGAATACCTTCATTGCCTGGATTTATGGGAAAGATGCAGCCCGTTCTTAGGCGTGATGACTTTGGTATTGTTGCCTTTCCGTCTGTGTACTTGCCAACACCGCAAGAAGAACCTTCTGCATGGCCTAAGTCGATGACATCCTCGAGAAAAACATCGAGAGATCATCGTCAGGTGAGGACAGTTTTGGCTATTACTTTGCAGTGTATTTAGATTTGTCTCTATTTTCTTATTTAATACAACTTGTAATTGCTTACAAAAGTTGATGAAAGTTTATTTCTTTTTCAGATTTTACGCGATGCTCTCTCTCCCTCGTCATCTACAGAGGCATCAACATTGACTGTTTATGACCACACCGGGACTGATGAATTCGCTGTGGTTTTACAAGAATGTGAAACGGAGATAGCTGATGAAGACTTTAGTGTAGGAATTTATTCTGTTTGTTATCATTTTCTACTGAGTTTCGAATCTTTGGTTCTCTTGTCTCCATTTTCCCTCCAATTCTTTGCTGTATATCACATTACTCTTCAGAGACAAATATTGAGCTTTATCTAATGTCAATCCCTGATTTTTTGTGAGATGTTTGTTTCCTTTACCTGATAATCACTACCTGATATTATATGATTTTCTTTTCTCGACAAGCAACTAATGACAATCTGACTGGCAAAATAACCTTGCTGGCCTCGGGCATAATGTTGTTGAATAAAAAAATATTTGGGAACCCCCTTTTATCACGATCCCCCTTTTTATTAATAGTTGGATTGTATATCAGACCCTCTTATCTTATATTACATTTTACCAGAGGTTGCTTGCCAGACTGCTCTGAATAGTTGTTCCAGCTGTAAATGGTTGGGTACACAAAACATGAGGCTGAGGAACCAGTGGCTAGCCTACAAATTCAAGCTTCGCAAATTAAAAACAAAGCACAAGAAAATAGGTATTTTATGTTCCATAGTTTTTCATGTTCCTGTTTTGTTAGGGTAACAAGTTGCAATAACAGCTTGAAACACATTAATAACAGCTTGAAACACATTAATAACATGCTCAACCGATATTGTTACTGATCTCTCATTCAAGAGGTTTTGTTTTTTACAAGTATCAAGCTTATATGATCCCATGTATGGATATATAGTAGCCCGTGTCATTTTTTTTCTGCAGGAGTGAGAAGAGATGAGGTGAAAGTCGCGGAGACCATTTCTAAATTGCCCATAAGCAATCAAGTACAAGATGAAGAGACTTGTGAAAATGAAGAAGATAGTTACAGTGAAGATGAGTCAGATGACGATTATGATATTGAAAAAAGATGAATCAGATGAAGGCCCTGGTGAATTTAATGACAGGTATATTTTGTGTATGATGTATGGTTATGGTAATTCTCTCATATGACCTTACCTTCAATCTGTCAGTGTAGAACATAAAGCTTTCTCTCCCAGTTCACATTTTTTCACAAACCTTTTTTGCATTAGGGGCCTTATGTTCTGCTGTGATAGTAACTCATAGTATGCAGACTGACCTGGTGTTCCAAAACTTCCCATCTTGATATTTAAGTTTGCTAGACTAAATTGCTCACCTTCAACATTTGTCAAGAAAATTGCACATTGCGAAAAATTAATTTTTGCAAATGTCCATAGGTACTGCACAAAACAACACATAGGAACAGAATAAATTCTGGCAAGAATTTTATCAAAAACAACCTGAAATATTATGAGCAGGCAGTAAATTCACTTCTAATTCTTGACTTTTGTATTTTAGAAATGCTGCAGATGACAACTTTCGATCTGAGCCTAAGTTCATTGTCTTTCTGTCACAGCTTCTCCTTCTATTTCAAATATGCCCTGTATGCAAAACTAACGGCCCTTTGGTGACAACCCATCAAGTTGGAACAATGGTCGAAGTAAAAACAACCTGCTCCAACATAGCTTGCCCAGCCAGTGAAGGTATTTGGAGAAGCCAGCATGATATCTCAAAAATCAGAACACCGGCAGGAAATATGCTACTTTCATTTGCAATTCTTGTAGCAGGTGGATCTGCCAGTAAAGTTTTCAGAGTGTTTCGCCATATGAGTCTTGGATGCACCTCAATTAGAACTTTTTTCAAACATCAAAAGGTAAGGATAGAAGGTAGAAAGCAAAATATATTATCTCACATCAGTTATAAATCAAACTGGTAAATTCTATAGCCAGATAAAACATTGTACTTTACCAGTTTTTGTTTAACTAAGCAAACGTTTCTTCCATGCATTTTTTTACCAACAATCTTTCTTTTACTAATTTGGGAGTAGTGGTAGAGACTTTTTTTTCTTCTTATCAGCTGACCAATTTTGACAAACCATTCTAAAGCATCAGTTTTACATATAGGGGTTTTTTAATAAATTTCTTCTTTTGTATGAAATTGTAGGAAAAAATAATGCCATTCATACTTCTGTTGTGGAAGAGACATCAATCAAAGCTATTTGGTCAGTTGAAAGAGAATGAAGAGGAGTTGATTATAGGTGGTGACGGTAGGCATGACAGTATGGGGCATAGTGCAAAGTAGGGAGCCTACACAGTCTTTTGCTGCAATATCTCCAAAATAATTCAATTTGCCCTTGTCCAGGTACGCATAGCTACATACAATACCAGCTAAAGAGAATAAGCATGTATTTCAAGTCAAAATCATGTTGAATAATAAAACTGTGTTGAAAATATTAATGATTTGTGTTATTCTTATAGCTATGAAGATCTTGTTGATGAACTTATGTCTGTTTGGATGAGCTTGCAAGGCTCTGGTCAGCCCAGTACTTGTCAATAAGTCCTTCTTTCCATATTATTTTGCACTCCCTAATAGACCCCTTTCACATTCGATTGTCATTGCGAGACATGATTCGGAAAAGAGGCTAACGTTGTTCCGCACAACGCTAGCTCCTTGCCGACACACCAAAACAACTTGTTAGCCGGCTATTCGTATTACGTGTATTACTCTATAATAATTATGGAACAATTCAAGACCTTGTTGCCTGGCGGAAAAACTGTCGATTCCCTTGAAGATTTAAAGAAGTTGAACGTTGAGCAGTTGAAAAAGATCTTGATGTGCTACAAGGAGAAGACATCTGGTGTGAAGGCAGACCTTATCCTAAGGGCCTACGCCATTTTTGCCGGGTGCAAAACCAATCCCAGTATGAATGTTCTTCCTCGCAGCACCCATTAATTGGAAATGAAAATCATTGCACATATGAAGCTATCTACAAGTCAAAATGGAGCCATTTGCCTTGGACATCAGATCTAAGAGGGACTCCTGCCTTTTCTTTTGTTCAGCTGTATGACTATCTTGTTGTACGAACAACGAAATTCAAGCATATCAAGCTGAAGAGTACAGCCTATAAAAAGCTCAAAGCCTTTCAGTTTTTCTACGAAGGATATATAAAGAAATTTTTTGTTGCTAGAGATAATAACTTTACTTTTTTTGATGTGCGTATCAAAGCTTCAATGAAGAATGTTTTATACAAAGCCATCGTTATTCTCTCAAACGATTCTGGTGATGTTTGCTGTGCAGCCTGTACATGTCCTGCTGGTGCTGGCATTTCTGGTTTGGGTAATTGTAACCATGTTGGTGGTGTCCTTTTTGCTTTGGAAGACTTCAATAGAAAAGGCTATCAAAGTTGTCCTCAACCTGTCTCTTGTACATCGAAGTTATCAGCATGGAATGTGCCTTCTTCATTTACATCAATATCTCCCGTCCCAATTGATCAAATTGTAATTGAAAAGATTAAATTTGGAAGAGATAGTGGTAAATCACTAGATTACTTTCCAAGATACAACATAATTATTTAGAAATTGCTAATATGTAAGTAAATTGACATCCAGTAAGTAAGTAAAAACAGGCAGTAAGTAAATTAAAATTTTTAATCAGTAAGTGAGTAATCTTGGGTGAAATTTTCCCTTCAATATACTGTGGGGATAATACCATAGGTAGTGACCAAAAACAAGAAGATAATGTCTTTGGTGACAAAATTTCAATGAAAATTATTATGTACACTGATTGGCATAAGATATATATGCTTTATGATATACTTATACATTCCAAATCTAACATAGAAAAGATTGAAAAGCCTGCATGTATCCATTTCCTTATCCAATAAGCCCCAACACTAAAAAAAGCCCCTTCCCAATTACTGATATATATGATACTTTATAACTTATGGCAATTACAGGCCTGGCTGTAAGACTTTTAACAGAGGGGAACAGTAAACAGCTCTCCTAGAAGTATTCAGGTGAGCTATAAGAATAGAAACAAAGGAAAATTGATTTCAAGGAGAGCAAATTTGTTTTTTTAGAACAATTTCGGAGAGCAATCTCTAGCTCCTCTCCAGCCCTGAGGAAAGCCTGGAGGGGAGCAAGAGCTATGGCTCTCCTCAAATGGCCAGGCCTGCAATTATGATCATACCTGTAAAAGACCTCTATCATGACCTTGATATGAATATCACTATGTATAAATGTTATGTAAACTAGCAAGGGTGCATGGATTTTTATTTGTTAATGCAAGTCAAGCTAATAGCCAATGTTGATGTTCCTGTAACATAACTTATAGACAGAATCATTTATAATTTTTTCCCACTTAGTTCAAATTGTGGAAACATTTAGAAGTTTTGTAAAATGAAAAAATAATTTGCTTCATGAAAGATTTATGGTCAGAGCAACTGAAAAATTACAATTTACTTAAAGCTGTTTATCTATGGGTTCTGCATATAAGAGGTGAAATGATAAAAAAATTAAAGAAAAAAAACGCTGTCCATTTATATACAATTAAATTACTTCTTATGAATTGAGGGTATCACTAGAAATGGCAAAAAATTAGTTAATAGAGAGCAAACAGTAAAAATCTGATTAGTTAATGGGCATAAGGATAATGGTAGAACTCCATTGAGAATGTGGTAATTTTTAATTCTACCAATGGCTCTTTCCACATGAATTCTAACAGCTGCAATCTGAGCTGTTTCTTCACTCTCTGCTGGTGTTAACTGTGATCTGCTTCCTTTGAAAGGTGGAATATTGAGTGTAACCCCAACTGGTAGAATGTCAGCTATATCAAATCCTCGGTCTGCCATGACATTGTCACCATGCTTAAGAAGATCAATAAGGCCACTTTTCCAGGTAATCTCTTTATCAGACACCCTGCCAGACCAAAGCTTTGAGACAAAAGTAATAGCACCAGTAGGAGATATTCCAATGAGAGCTTTTCAAGTATTGTGGTGTTTATACTCAGACCATGTCTGTGATTGAGCTTTCATGGATGAGGGAACTTTAGTAAAAATTTCTGTGCAATCAATGACTATTCTTGTGGAAGGATACTTTTTAAATTCATCAGGCATTAAAGCTTCAACATGTTCTTTAGGAGGAAAAGGAAAAAGAAGAGGCAGTTCATGGTATAGAAAGTTGATCCAGGTAGTGAATATTTTGGATGCATGACCAACAGAGATTCCAAATCTATCTGCAAGATCGATCAAAAACAAGCCAACTTTGAGACGCATTAAAACAAAAATAAATTCTTCAAAATGCGACAGCTTTCTTTTAGGACCTGGTTTTGTTAATGATTCTTGCCACTCTGGTCTTTGTTTGGATGTACCATGAGACTTAGAGCCACGCCAGTAAGAAATGTTCTGCAACTTTGGTTCCAGATACTCATAAACAGATCGAAGAGAAGAATAATTAGGAAAACCAGTATAAAATTTGACAGCAGAATCATCATTTTGCAACTTTTCAAGTGAAAAAAATGCCTTTTTTGCAACAGACAGTTCAGCATTTAAGTTTGATACTTGGAAAGAAAGTTCATCAATCTTTTTTTGAAGGTTAACATACTCCCTTTGTTCATTACTTGACTTGTTTTCATCATAACTGGAATCATCATCAAAATAAATGGGGGCCACGACAAAAGAAAAACTTGTTTGCGTAGAACTGTTTCGGTAATTAGAAACATCTTCTTGAATGGAATCAGAACAATCATCAAGTTCAGATGTAGCGGAAGAAGAAGGCTGCGGTTGTGGGATTTCATAATAGTGGCTGCGATCCTTTGGTGCCTTACGGGAGATTTTGCTGGTCCTCGCATCACTGTTATAAAGCTTCAACGAAGGAACTGCGCCATGATGTAACTTCCATCGCTGAGGGTTTCGCTTTAAATCTTCATCTTTTAAATGTTCTTGGCATAACACTGTACTTGCAGTAACTTTAAAACCATCCAAACCATCAACTCTTTTGATCAAGTTACACCAAACTCTCTTCTCTGGATTCTTCTGCGGAAACTTAAAAAAATGTAGGCCACTGGGTGAACCATCTGTGTTATAGGAAAAATTATAACAACCAAAAGCAGCGCATTGTCTCCCCAGCGATTTCTTCTTCTTCACCTGAATATTAGCTACCGGTTTCTCAGTATTCTCAGCCATATTGCTAGCGACAACTTTTCAACAGATTAGCAAATAATATCAGGAAATATTGACAAACACAGTGTTTGGCCGTATCTAAGGTTTGCGATTGTTGTGCGGAACAACGCTAGCCTCGTTTTCGAAGTCACTCTTCGCAATGATAATGGAATGTGAAAGGGGTCTATTCCTCTTCAGACTATTCTGCTTTTATTTCAGTGCAACGAGGTTGGGAACAGCACAGCCATGGAATTTGAAGGATTCAAACGCTGTCTTGATTTTATATTGAATGAAGGAATGCAGGTATCAACGATGATATCAGACAGACATGTTTCCATTGCCAAGTAGATGAGAGAGGAAAAAAAGGACAATACGCACTTTTTTGATTTGTGGCATCTTAAAAAAAGTAAGCCTGCATTATTAAAATTGACAGATTTAGTTGTCATCTTGGCCATTGGGGAATTTAAAATATGTTGTATGTCGTAGATGAATGTAAAATTCTTTATTTAAGTAAAATATTGCTATATTGTTACACTTATCAGAGCTGGTCCCCCTATTTGATCTCGGTCAACAACCAAACAAAAAGTTGTATCTCAGTCTTTGGTGCATATAGTATTATAATATAAGTTGAAATCTATGTTATATCATAGAAATCAGGAAGCTTTTCCAGAATGCTGCAAACAGAAAAGGATATGAGGCACTGGTAGAATGGATCAACCCATGTTTGAAGCAGTTTCACTGGTCAGCCACATCCACACCTGATGGCAACGGGAAAGTGATTCTGGCAAAGTTTCATTCCTTTTGCAGCATGTCGTGAGTGAGCATGAAAATCTGGATAATCCAGTATTTAATAAATTTGCACATGCTGAGGTAATCACACAAAGAAAATGGCTTGATAAAGGCACAGTCTATAGAATTGGGACGGTCTGGAAGCCTTTTTTTCTTTGCGATGTCATGTTTTTGTTTACGAAAAATGCGGTCATGTGGTATCGAACGTGCACACGTATTCGGGTTGAAGAGACGCATGTTATGAAAATGATTGTGCATGTTGCCGGCGATCTTGATACATATTCTATGTTCGCATAAATTTGCTCAAAAATAACTGTTTAAGTGCGAGTCAGGGATGCCTGGCAATAATTGTGCCTTCAATCATTGCGGTACAAGTCGAAGATCGAAAGGAATTGGGCTGCTCAAACTGCCAACTCCAAGGTCGACGATGTTGAGACAAAGGAATGTTGAGAAAAAGTTTTGGCTGTTCTGAAAAAATATCGTGTAGAAGATGAAGGTTTCAAGCGTCAGCTAGCTGCTAATACACTACACATATGTGAAAAACATTTTCGTCCGGAAGATATCGAGATATGTAAGTGGAACTATACTAAGTTTACTTGATTTGTTGGTCTACAGCAAGTTCAGCGGACATTGTGAATCCGAATAACATGTTTTGCTGGATGTCATATTGGAAGGGGAGCGTTTCCGGACCCTTGGTGACTTGTGATTCGTTAATACAACCCAAAAAACTCCTCGACATGTACGACATGAAGTTAATCGACATCCATTTGGATTTGCATCGCTAACCTGTACTTTATTATCTGATCGTAGTCAGGTTTTAAAAACAAATAATGGAAATATTAAAACCAGTAAATATGTACTTTCGATTTTGCTTCTTAGCTACGGAAGCTTTATGATTTTAATTATTCTTGTTATATGCAAATACAATGCACAAGATTCGTTTTAAAATCTTGAATTTAATCAATCCTAAAACCAAATGTAAACAAATCTTTTTATTTAACCTAACTAGGCCCTTTTTCTTTATGTGAGTTTAAAGGGGCTGGATAAGAAATTTGCCCGCGGGACGCTACGCGCACAGTTTGTGTTGATCTTTGGGTGAAAGATCAATCTTGTCATTGGATTTTTTATAGGAAAATTGCCTACAGCAATCTTTCTGCATAGCTTTGAGCACAAGAGGAGCAAGTAGTAAAAAAAGGGAATTGTAAAGAGGATAGTCGTTTTTATTATTTTATTGATATATTTTGTACGTGCGCATGGAGAAAAGGAAGAGGAGAAGGCCGAATTTGACGGAGTTTGCTGCAAAGAAACAAAGACAGTCTGTTCGATCATGGCAAAGTTTGCACAGGAGGATATATTTAACAAACCAAGTGTTTGAGCAGTGGTCCTTATTGAAAGCAACAGGCACATTCTCAAGTGATTCTGTTCTTGCTTCCCACCTTATATCCTTGGAATTTCGCCGGAGAGACAGGTAATAATCGCCTAGATCATGTTCCTTTTGCCATGGCCTAGACCTGATCTATCATGTATTGACTGAAAAACCTTTTTTAAGGCATTGTTTTAATTTAGTAACGCTAAAATTGATTTCTTCTTCTGAAATATAAAAACTATTGTTATGTCAGTGTGCATTACCTGTAGTTTACAGTATGGAATAGACCTTGATCTTGACCTAACCTGTTTCTAATGCCTTACCAAAATTGTGAAAAATAAACAAACTTCATTTGGGCACAAACCTAAAACCAACAGTTTGATGGTCAATGTAATCCCTAAATTATTGACTGAATTTTCAAATTGGTAAACTCGTTTAACAGTGTCAAACCTTTATTTTTAGGTACAAATATTGTGCTGCTGGTTCAGATAACAAAAGAGATGATGCAAAGCCCAGAATAAATAATCTGAAAAATGGAAATACAATCCAAGAACAAATAACTGGACAATCAAGAAGCTGTTTAATGAAAAGGACTATCCTTATGTCCCAATGATAATTGCAAGATTCTAAGAAAACAAATTTCAGAATATGGAGATTTAAATAAAAAGACTGTTCTGAAGGAAAGTGACCCAAGAAAGATTGCTGCCACAATTGGAAAATCTCCTCCAGAGCCTACTGCTGAAATTGCAAAACGATATGTTAGCAGGCTTGACTTTGCAAAAAAATAGATCATGTATATATTTAGAGTAAAGGTTTTATGCATTTTATATTTGCCAGAATTTTCAAGAAAATTGCACACTCCTGAAAATTTTTTTTGCAAAAAACAATAGAATAAATTTCAAACATGATGTTTAGATAAATAAACAAGCTTTCCTAAAACAAAGTGAAAATTATGGCGAAAACAGTGTTGATGCCCAGTGCTGTGTGTCTTTTTGTTAATGTTAATGTTCTTCGAAACCCATATATATATGCCAGTTGGTGAGGGGTTATTGCTCCTGATGCATAAAGCAGCACAAGATGGGACCACCTTGCGACTGCCTTTCCAAGATAGACATGTTGCCACAAGGCAATTGTGTGTATCCTGCCTTGCAAAATGCATGTGTGCTGTTGTCTCTTCTGTCATTTCTGATGTCTGTGGTATTTTTTATCACCATTTCTAAGTTTTCTGGATCAAGGCAGAATTTTGAAAATTTTCTCCTTGACGTAATGCATTCAGCTTTTTTGCAACATTTATTTTCAATGTCACGTTGCATTTCTCTGCATTTTCTACACTTATACCACTATGGCAAGTTGGGGTCATTTGACTGAATGTCTCTCTGCTGTGCATCTTCCTGTAAAACACTCTCTGCTGTGCATCTTCCTGTAAATTCCATGCTACCAACTCCACATTTATACTTAACAGAGACCAACTTCTTCAACTCTTTGATTGGCAGGGTCTCGATGAAGTTCTGTTTGAAACAATATAATAATGTGATTTGACATGCGGCCCTAACTAAACTTGCTTTAAAAATTTCCTTGAACAGCCAAAATATTATTTAAAAAAAATTTTGAAAATTTCCTTGGCTATTGAACTTTTTGAGTATAGTTTGAAAAGTTATATCCTACAAGAACTAACAAATAGTTCTAAGGCATGCAAAATTTGCATAACTTTACCTAAATTTATTCATTAGAATTATTTTTGTTTGACGAAAAAGATACTCAGGCTTGCTAAATTCTCTGCTTGCCAAATTTCCTTTGTCTAAATGTTGGTATATTCTTAGTTTTTATTTTAGCAAATTATTAACTGTAGGTATGCTCTCTGGTGCTGTATGTAAATTTAGTTGTTTATTAACCAGAATATACACTTACCTCCACAACAAGGTTTTCTTGTTGGTCTTCTTCATCTTTACCAACACTCGTTTGTTGCATTATGTGTAGGTGAATTAATATGCACCTGAAGAAGAGTAGAAACATATGGCCATTTGAAAAAATATCTTTATGTGTAGAATCAATGACTAAATATGAAGGGTTCAACAAAATGTTAGTAGAATCTTGTATAGTAGAAACTTTATTGGAAAGTTCTTGTGACCCCTTAACCCTCCTGGGCATTGGCGGATCTACAGGGGGGGCCGGGGGGGCCATGGCCCCCCCCAAACGATTCGACAACGAGAAACTTTGAATGAAAAGACAGTAAATACATTAACTAAACATGTAAATTGATAAGGTAAAAGTTTTTGCATAACAAGAAACTAGTTGTTTATATAACTAACAAACCAAAATTACTTATTACATTACATGAGAACACTAACTGCGAGCATAGAAACATGAGAGCTTTGATTGAGTAATTTTGTGGAAATCAGTGATCCCAACTGATGTCAATATATTCAGAAAAGAATTTGAAAAGGAAGGAGCTATATCGTAGCAAAAACGTTATCGGAGATTTTGCCTTTGAAACGAAAAGCTACATGCGAGCTCATTTTGCGCGAGAAGTGGTGTGTTTCAATGTTGAGTATTGCGATATAATAGCAACGTCATTTTGTCCATCTTTTAACTACTTACAGCTTTAATGGGATTCGTCTTGATTTTAATGCTGCGAATGAGTCAATGAGTTTATCGCTCGTTGGTGTTCTGTCACGGTGAACTTGCAGAAGAAGTAGGGATTCTAATCTCTCCTCAGACATTGTTGACCGAATTGCTGTCAGGGTACTATTCAGTTTAGAAAATAGTCGTTCGGGTTCTGCTGTTGTCACCGGTAGCACAGTGAGAATGTTGAGTAATGTATGCAAATTAGGAAATACATCACCTTGGCAGTCGCCTAAAGCGCCGATAGCGGTATTTGCTACTGTACTTGTTCCACGTGACAGCCATTGCTGCTTCCAAATTTCATACTCTCCTTCAACAATGGACAAGGGGTCTAAAAAGACTCCGTATTTTAGTGCTGCAGGCAAAATATCTTGCCAAGTTGATTCTTTGACGAAACAAGGCAGAATTCTTGTAAGCGTCGCAATCTTCTGCTGATGGGGACCAAATCTTGCTTTCATATCTCCAGCCACTTCATCAAGAAGAGGTAAAAACACATTGATACGATAATAATCAATGGCTTTTTGATTGGCTTCACCTGCATTTGATCTGAACCTGGATTGACTGACTGCTCGAGGAATTGCGTGCATCTCTTCTCTGGTCACTCCAATATTTTCGCCAAGAAGCATTGCCTCTTCAAACATCGAAGCAAACTCATTTTCTTCACCTTTACGCCACGTGTAAAGCTTTGACTGTGTCGCAGAAATCGTCGACATTGCTTTCACAAGATCGCTACCAATTTGTTGCAAAGAACGGGACACTGGGCGAAGTACAGCAGACACTTTCTCGGCCAATACTAGCGCTACAAGGAACTGAGGGTCTTGCAAACTTTTTAACAATCTCCTGGCATCTTTTCTTGTATCTAATGAGTCCCAAGCGAGCATTTCCTCCAAGCACACAACGATGTAAGGCAAAAGCTGTCGTGCAACCAAAACTGATTCATGTCTTTCGACAAATCTTGTTTCACAGAGGGTCACCAACTGCCGTCGCTGAAACTCTTCAATTGATTCTCGTGCTATGACTGCTTGCAAATAGCTGTTTCTTTTCGCATGCTTGAAGAAATTGTTGATATCTTTGATGTCATCCATGCAATGTCTGATTGCTGGTATCTTTGCGGCTCGAGAACAACTTAGATTTAGCGCGTGCATGCAGCAGTGGAAGTAGTCAGCGAGTGGCGCAGCAGATTTGATAAAGGAACAAACACCAACTCGCTCACTGGACATCGATGCAGCACCATCATATCCTTGACCAACGAGGTACTGCAAATCCAACCCAAGCTCACTTATATGGCGGAGTAGAGTCTCCCCTATTGCCTTGCCACATAGCTTAATTTCATTGTGCTCTGTTTCATCTGATTGGTCACTGCTTTTATGTCTGCAATCAGGTCTAAAATTGCGACCGGTTCTTCTTTGATAATTTTTGGCACATTTTTTGTGTCAACGTAACGAATTGCAATGACCAACTGTTCTCGTTTCGCACAATCTTGGGTTTCGTCGGCCATTATTGTCCAGAATTTTGCATTTTTTACATCTCTTACTATGTCCTCTTTGACAATATTTCCTGCACAGGCAATTAGCTCGTTTTGTATCGTTTTGCTTACCAAAGAAGCATTGCGTTTGCAAGATTTCAAGTGATCTTTCAAGTTTGTATCTCCTCCCCGTACTCTCAATCGCAGCAATGCCCTGAAGTTTCCATCATTGTGCTTGGGTTCCATCCCAGTTGAATCTACTGGTCCATCATCACGATGGCCTCTAAGCGCAATATTTTGCCTGGCGCATGTTAGAAGGGTGTCGATGATGGGAACCAGCGCAGTCCTGTTTCTTTCAATCTCTTTCTGCCTTTCAATGTTCATTATTGATCGAACGTCCTTCTCACTCCCAGGTGTTGCACGGCTCAAGAACTCCGTGTACTTTATGGCACATGTCTTATGAAAAGATGTTTCTTGGTGACTTGTGAGGGCTCCATTTTTCCCTGTCAAGTCTGAAAAGTTTACAAGAGGCTTGTTAACAAGTTTGCCCATTGACTGGCCTGCTCCACCTCCGTATTGTGCACCTCTTCCACCTCCACTCTCGCACGTCTTGAATAAAACGCAATAAACACACCAAGCACCGCAACATTTTGGCTCTCTGCTGACAGCTAGCCAGGGGAAGGTTTTCAAGTGATTTTCACCCAGAAAACGCTTCGTTGTCGAGGACATACCAACCATGAGCTGATTCTTTGGTTTTTTCTTTTCAGAAAATGGATATTCATCCCTTCTCTGCGGCACCCACCTCTTCGATAAATATGCTTCCCTTTCGTTATCTGTCAGCTGTTCTCCTCGTTTTGTTTTCATTATAGCTCTACCAATGTCATATCTATCAGATATTGCAACATTTACTTGTGTCGCCATACAACAGAGGTCTGGGTGTGTTTCCTCTTCAGGACAATCCTGGACTACCGCAACTTGGCTTTGTGTGTCGAATTCTTCACCAGTAGATTTTGATTCAAATTCTTGGCAAGTGGTAGTTTCACATGTTTTAGAGATTTCAGGGTTATCTCCAACTGAACTGGTGCGGCTACTTTTTGAGAAGAATGATTCAAGAGTTCTTGATTTCTTTGGCGGACCAGACATTTTAATCAAACCTCCAGTCGGCTTTATTCTCTCGCTTTCAGTGAGGCAATAAGTTGCAAGTGGATGTGTAACACAAGAATTATGATAAGCCTAAAACAATAGTTCAATGCAAAATTAGATGTGACCGGATCTCGCGGCTCATATGGACTATG